CTCTGTCTCTGTGGAGTCTCCAGGATGTCCTCTGCCTCTGGGTATTTTAGTACTTGGCAAAGAGACAGTTCAGGCATTGCTGTAGCTTGAGCGGCATCAGCCATGGGAAATTGAGCACCTCCACTGTGAGCAGCACCTCAGGAGTCTGCACCACCAATAACCTCTGTCTGTGATACTTATTTGCTTTATAGACTCACTTTAAATGAGAAGGAAATCTTTATCCTGCTCGGATAAAATATAAGTTAGTTTATATTCCTAAAATTCATGAATTAATTACAAATAGAAGAGCTGACATCACTTGCCAAGACTTCTTGGATACCTGAGCTTGCTCATCTGATGGCACGATGAGTTCCTCCTCCACAGAAGAGGACAGTCAGTCAGGCGTTGACCTGTTTTGGTGAGATTTTGCTTTTGTCTAAAATGTGGGAAGGAACAGAAAAGACTAAAGGAGTGGGAAGAGGCACAACAGGAACATGTGGGGAGAGAGGTAAAAGGTGGGAAAATGCCCTCTAAGGGCAGGGGAGTCAGGTCCATGTTGCAGAAAGCCTGTCTCCTCCTTCAGCTGCAAAAAATTATTTATTAAGGCTGCTTAGTGCTTTCCATTAGAAGAATTTTTTTTTATTATTATTATTAGAAGTTTCTTATTACTCTGACAGACTTTAACTGCATGGGCTGAAATAGCGGGTGTTGTGAGTCCGTCTCAGGTTAACTAGTGATGTATTTATTTTTGAAGGGGGTTGGTGGAGTGTGTAGAAATTTTACCCATGGCTACCTGAAAGTTGCAGACAGGGAACATGGAATGGGAAGAGATATGAGTGGCTGGGGACAGCTCCACTTCTCCAGATTTCTGTTTTTCTGTACCAGCCTCTGTCTCTGCAGACTACCAGTGAGGGATGATTAGCTTGGCATGGGAAATAAAAATACCTTTGTGATGAGCAGAAAGACATGAAGCAGTGGCTATGAAATGGTGCTGACGAAAAAGAACTGCAGCAAGAATATCACAGAATCACAGAATATGCTGAGCTGGAGGAGACCTACAAGGACCATCGAGTCCAAATCTTAGCCTGGCACAAGACCATCCCCAATAGTTACATCATGTTCCACAGAATATCAAATGCTTCTTAAACTCTGTCAGGCTTGGTGCTGTGACCACTTCCCCAGGGAGCCTGTTCCAGCACCCAACCACCCTCTGAGTGAAGAATCTTTTCCTAATATCCAACCTAAACCTCCCCATACACAACTTCAGGTCATTCCCTCAGTCCTGTCACTGGACACTACAGAGAAGAGATCAGTGCCTGCCCCTCCTCTTCCCCTTACAAGGAAGCTGTAGATTGCAAAGAGGTCTCCCCTCAGTCTCCTCTTCTCCAGGCTGAACAGACCAAGTGACCTCAGCTGTTCCTCATATGGCTTCCCCCCAAGGCCCTTCACCATCTTTGTTGCCCTTGTTTGGACACTCTAAATAGCTTAATGTGTTTCTTTTATTGTGGTGTCCTAAACTGCACACAGTATTCAAGGTAAGGCCACCCCAGTGCAGAGCAGAGTGGGACAATGAGCAGGAGAGTAACAACATAATTATGTTGTCTGAGGGCAGTTTGAATAGTCGGCACAGTATTCAAACTCTCCACTGGGAGAATCAAAAATGCTGATTGAGCAAAAACATTTGTAGGGAAACGGATGGTTTTAACAGAATCTTCCAGTCAGATAGTTCTGTGTAAAAACTTCAAAAATTGCCCCTAATTGTCCTCTTTTCTTTTTCTTTAGATAAAAAATCTGGTGGGTTTCTTGCCTTTTTTTTTTTTTAATGCAGAACAATGTGTCACCCTAAACATTTACGTTATATGAAAGAATTCATAAAATAAATAGGGCAAAATAAGAACATAATGTTCTGAAAATATTAAAACAAAACAAATAACAAGGCAGTAGTAATTTTCAGAACATTTTTAACCTGAAATCAAGCTGAGAAGCAATTCCAAAACATCAGACTTGTCTTGGCTATGAAAAAACATTCACATCCCAACTATGTGTCCAACTCTAATTCTGGAGTGCTGTACCATGCATGTACTGGATTTTCAGTCTTAATAATAGTTTTCGCCTGCAGTTTGAGTGTGAGCTGGAAGCACACTATGCAGGTGGAGGTCCAGGGGCTGTAATTTTGGCTGTACTGAAATTGAGTGGCTTGGCTGCCTTCAGCTTTTCACAGCAAAGGCCTTCTTATCACTTTTGTCTGTTAAAAAGAGAAACAGAACAGAAACACAGAGTAGAGGTGGAAAATATTTTGTGGGAGTCTCTGGTCCAGGGCAGATGGTAGGTGATAAAGATTTGGCCCTGATGCTTGGCTGACAAGCTCCTTCTGGAGGGGGCAGAAGGACTCATGAGACTCCCATTCTGCACTTGCAGCTGGAGCTAAACAGGCAGGAGACTGAGTTCAGGGATATCTGAGGACTTTGTTGTTGCAAATGTTGCTTTACCATAATAATTGGTAGCAAAAGCAGTTTTGACTGAGCAGAGGCCAATAACTGTATGTAGCCCAACATTCAACTTGCATCAGGTATTTTAATGAAATGCTTTCCCAGGCTGCCAAACTATTCCCCTTCATTAATAACATCTAAAGCAATAGGCTAGTGGTTTCTTTTATAAGCCTATGTTTATATTTGCTCAACTGAAAGAACCTAGTTTTGACATATTTAATTACTGGTAAGAACCAACAATAAAAGCTTTCAGGTCTGAAGGATACCTCAGCTCTTCAGATGTAACTAGTAAATATTTGCTCTCAGAAACATACTGTGGTTGATTTTGGTTCAGGTAATACTTCAATGTGTATGCTTTCATTTGCTGGTCTACGGTTCCAGGAAGCCCTGACCAGGCATGCAGTTGCTAAATCCCTACATTATATATATCTGTAGGGATTATATATGTAGGGATATTATATATATATATATATATATATATAATGTGCTCAGCAGCAAGGCACCCCTTACTTGCTTGAAGCTTCATGTATCTTGGGCCAATGCTATACAGCTGCTTGTATATAATATGCACAAAAATCACTGCACGTTGCTGATAGGTAGTCATTCTTGTAATTGTGTACAGCAGCTGCTTAATTTCGTAAAGTAACACTAAATTTCAAATAAGCATGCGAAAGTAAGTAAAGTAATAAAGTTTCAGGAATAGTTCTAAGGCAGAGTATGATATATTTGTATTTTGTGTAATTCTAATGCCTTGCAGAAGTAGTTTTTTGTTAATAAAGGGATTTTGTTTGCTTTGTGTTCTTTCTGTTAAATGCAACATATCTAGGCTGAAGGCGCTGAGATGCAATAAACCCAGACCATAAACAATCAACACTTATGGAGTCACTTTTCAAGATTTTCCACATAAATGAGGAAAATCTGTTGGAATTAATACTTACCCAATCCATCTGGCAGTGCTGGCATGTCTTGTGGTAACTTTCATTGGAGATTGTTGTGAAATGTTTACTTTATTGTTTTTCTCCTTCTTTCCACACATTTCTTTTCAACTCCTGCTCCCCCATCCCTGACAACAAAGAGATTAACCAGCCTCTACCACAAGTGCTCTGGAACAAAAAGAAAGGACATGTTTTGCTTTGTAAGGAGAGAAAGTTGGTGATGATCCTTGGCTCCAATTTTGCAAGTGCAGACAAATGTGGTTGGTTTCCTGGGCTTTTGTATATATGAAGTTAAAAAGAGCTACTCATGTGAGTAAAATCAAACACCTCGGTTTAGAGAATTGAGGCTATGTTATCAGACATTTGGATATTTGTTTGCTTTCAACAATTAATTAAAAATGATGGAAAACTGCTTTTAATGTGCCATTAGGCAAAACATCATTAGAATTGGTAATCTATAAAAGGCATTTAAGTCACAGATAATTTCCAGACTGAAATTACTTCTGCAGCATTTTAATGACTGTGCCCCTGGTGTGTGTTCTGGCAATTCCAATAATTCTATCAGGCTGTTCTTGTTTTCTTGTCTTGCTGCTGCTGTTTCTAAAAGAGACTTCCAGGGAGATCACAGATGATGCCAATGTGGGTAGAGCTCTACTGATGTGCTCTTTAGGTCGCTGAGGTAACAGATGGCAAATGTATTTAATTACCAGTAATGAAATAATAAACATCAGGACAAATAACTCATACTCGGTAGCCTTGCATTTAACTAATAGTCTATCATTCTGTTATGTTAAAGACTTCTCTTCTAGGAGTGCCAAAGGAGACATTGTAAGATAAAAAGCTCTTGTTCCACTGATTATTATAGAGGAGGGAAAATGCAGAGTGCCTCCTGACTCCAAGTAATAAGAATTAAATGCACTGGATTGTAAATTAGAGAAGATACCATCATAGCATGCAGTTCAGATGAGAGCTCAGCCACAGCACTTTCTTACGGATTCCTGCATTCCTTCCTTATCAGCCCTTAACACAGAGACATGAATAGATGCACAGACACACTGAATAATATCACTTACATTATGTCTTGCCAACAAAAAAAAAAAGAAAATGTACAGCTACCCTGCTATCTCTGCCCTGTTAAGCACTTCTGCTACAGAGGAAAGCACTCTTCCTCTTTGGGTCATTTTATTTTTCATTAAAACAATCTCTTAAGCGAAGAACTGAGACTTAGAAGTGACTAAGGTTTTCCAGCACTGGCTAGTGTTCATGTTAATGTAGGTGCTGCAGAGGTATAAAATGTTGAGCCACAGGCTCCAGTTCCCTGTGCAACAAGATAGAGAAGGGTTTACAAAGGGATTCTTTCTATGTGCTCCCATTCCCACCTCAGCTAAATCATGGGGGCTTCAGCCAGCACATGAACGCTGTGAAGACAGTAAAACAACTGACATATGTAGTGCTCTGTGAACAAAACAGCAATCAAGTCATTAGGAAAAGAGGAATGTTCAAGACATTTTCAATACTGCCTTGAAAGAGACATTTTTTTGCCAGATGCATAGTCTGGTAGATGCCAAATAACCTAAAGGATGGGCATGCCCAGAAATTTGTCATCTCTTCCTCAAGTATAGTGCTTGATTTAATGAGACATTATCTCTCCCTGAAGACCTTGGCTCGTCAAATTACTTCTTCTGTGATTGATGTTACAATGCCCTTCCTGGACAGTCAGCTCCAAATGCCTTTTCCAAGTTGCCTGGCAGATGCAGTGCCTCTCTCCCTGCAGGGTGTCATGCTTTTGTGGACCTCTGTCCTCAGTTGCTTCTTTTTAGACTGAGGGCTCTGAAACAATAAACAATACAAATTTTTTTCTTAGTGGGAACAAATCCACACCTTTGAACATCTTTGTATCTGTTCTCCGAACTGTTCTCAATTCTATTACATGCTGTTGAAGATACGAGTAGTGGAACCACACACAGTATTCAATTTCTGGATAAACCCTGTATTTATACAGGGACATAATGATGTTCTTGATTTTAGTCTCTGTTCCTTTTCCAAGAATTTTTATTATTCCATTTGCTCTTTTGACTGCAACTGAGCACTAAGTTGATGTATTTATGGAACTATTTATCATAATCTCAAAATTTTGCTCAAGTGGTAATGGTCAGCTTGGAAACAATCATCTCACATTTGGAATTAAGATATTTTGTTTTTCTCCTTTGAGGCTGACTTTATAATTATCTGCCCTGAATTTCAGCTGTGTGTTATTTTCTAGTTATCCAGTCTCATGAGGTCCTCTTGAAATTGTTGAAGATTGCTCATTTCAGCTACCCTGAATAAATATGCATCAGAAATGTCACCACACTGGTGTTTCTACATCATTCTAAACTTGTTGAACACCACAAATCCCAGTGCAGACCCTTGAAGAATGCTTTCTGTCACCTCCCTTCATGGCATAAGCTGACTGTTTGCCTCCAATGCTATGGCTGCTCAGTTTCCCTAGAAATCATAGAATCAACCGGGTTGGAAAAGACCTCTGAGATCATCAAGTCCAGCCTTGATCCAACACCACCATGGTTACTAGACCGTGGCATTAAGTGCCACATCCAGTCTCATCTTAAAAACCTCCAGGGACAGAGAATCCACCACCTCTCTGGGCAGCCCATTCCAATGCCTGATTACTCTCTCTGTAAAAAATTTCTTCCTAATATCTAACCTAAACCTCCCCTGGCACAGCTTAAGACCATGCCCTGTTGTTCTACTGCTGGTTGCCTGGGAGAAGACACCAACCCCCACCTGGATACAACCTCCTTTCAGGGAGCTGTAGAGAGTGATGAGGTCTCCCCTGAGCCTCCTCTTCTCCAGGCTGAACAACCCCAGCTCCCTCAGCCTCTCCTCACAGGACCTGTGCTCCAGTCCCTCACCAGCCTTGTTGCTCTTCTCTGGACCTGCTCCAGCCCCTCAATATCCTTCCTGAACTGAGGGGCCCAGAACTGGACACAGCACTCAAGGTGTGGCCTCACCAGCGCTGAGTACAGGGCAAGAATCACTTCCCTGGTCCTGCTGGCCACGCTGTTCCTGATAGAGGCCAGGATACCATTGGCCTTCTTGGTCACCTGGCACACTGCTGGCTCATGTTCAGCTTCCTGTCAATCCAAACTCCCAGGTCCCTCTCTGCCTGGCTGCTCTCCAGCTACTCTGTGCCCAGCCTGTAGCTCTGCATGGGGTTGTTGTAGCCAAAGTGCAGGACCCGGCACTTGGCCTTGTTGAACCTCATCCTGTTGGAATCAGACCATCTCTCCAGCCTGTCCAGGTCCCTCTGAAGAGCCCTCCTGCCTTCCAGCAGATCAACACTCCCCCCAACTTGGTGTCATCTGCAAATTTGCTAATGGTACACTTGATCCCCTCATCCAGATCATCAGTGAAGATATTAAAGAGAACTGGACCCAACACTGATCCCTGGGGGACACCACTAGTGACCGGCTGCCAACTGGATGCAGCACCGTTCACCACCACTCTCTGGGCCCGGCCCTCCAGCCAGTTCCTAACCCAGCACAGAGTGCCCCTGTCCAAGCCGTGGGCTGCCAGGTTTTCCAGGAGCATGCTGTGGGAGATGGTGTCAAAGGCTTTGCTGAAGTCCAGACAGACCACATCCACAGCCTTCCCCTCATCCACCAGGCGGGTCACCTGCTCATAAAAGGAGATCAGGTTGGTCAGACAGGACCTGCCCTTCCTAAACCCGTGCTGGCTGGGTCTGATCCCTTGTCCATCCTGTAGGTGCTGTGTGATTGCACTTAGGATGATCTGCTCCATAACCTTGCCAGGTATTGAGGTCAGGCTGACAGGCCTGTAGTTTCCCAAGTCCTCCTCGCAGCCCTTTTTGTGGATGGTGTATCAGGGAGGGGTTACTGTATCAGGGAAGGTCCGAGATATACAGACACGAAAAACAGACACCATTGCTAGCTCAACACAAAACCCCCCCAATATTTATTACAAAAGGTGGCCACGAAAATGAACAAACCCAAAAGGGAGGAAGGAGGAGAGAAATAAGCCCCCAGCGCGATCTCCCCAGTTACCCAGCTGTTGCCCATAAAGTTATCTTACCGACCTAGCATGCCTATAATTACCCATAGCAGAAGCGGCATCCTCGGAGAGTCAGTAAGTTAACAAGCTGGCAGGTGTCCCTGCCAAAAGGCAACGTTGTCCTTGAAGTAAGCTAGCTCCCCAAGAAAGCACTATCTGCTTTTTAAACAATTAATTGAGAGACCACAACCTCCTAGGTGTGGCCAGCACCGCCCAGCCCAAGGCCCTCAGTCCCACCTCCCGGTTATGTAAGTGCACCTCTTCTGCGCATGCGTGAGAACTTCGGAAATCCTCTAACGCACGCGCAGTATGCTTTGGGGGTCTTTTCTAATTGAGTTTGGGGCTGAGCCTTCCTCACTTCATCATCACTTTCTCCTCCAAATGCCCTTGACGGACAAGTAACCAATCACAGGACACCAATTAAAACAGTTTGTACAAGAAGCTCTCTTCAAGGACAACTTTCCCGCTTATCAGTGCTTGTTTTCCCATAACTTGGCAGGGAAAGAGCAAAGCTTTCACAGGTGGCAGGGCCAAACACAGACCAAAAGTATTAGCATAAATTCACCCTGGTACAGATGGGCATGACATTAGCCAGTTTCCAATCATTTGGGACCTCCCCAGTGAGCCAGGACTGTTGCTAAATGATGGAGAGCGGCTTGGTGAGCTCTTCCACCAGCTCCCTCATCACCCTTGGATGGATCACATCTGGTCCCACAGATTTGTGACGATCCAAGTGGCTCAGCAGGTCACTAACTGTTTCTTCCTGGATTACAGGGGGGCTATTTGGCTTCCTGTCTCTGTCTACCAGCTCCAGAGGCCAGTTGTCCTGAGGATAACCTGTCTTACTGTTGAAAACTGAGGCAAAGAAAGTGTTAAATACCTCAGCCTTTTCCTCATCTTTGGTGACTATGTTCCCTGCCATGTCCAACAAAGAATGGAGGTTTTCCTTGCCCCTCCTTTTGGTACTGATATATTTGTAGAAGCACTTCTTGTTATCCCTAACAGAAGTGGCTAGACTGAGTTCAAATTGTGCATTTGTCTCTCTAATTTTCTTTCTACATGACCTAATTATATTCCTAAACTCTTCCTGAGTAGCCAGCCCTTTTTTCCGTAGTCTGTTAGCTCTCTTTTTTCCCCTTCAAAATCTCCCTGTTCAGCCAGGCTGGACATCTTCCCTGCTGGCTCGCCTTTTGGCAGACTGGGACAGCCTGCTCCTGTGTGTTCAAGACTTGCTTCTTGAAGCATGTCCATCCCTCCTGGACCCCTTTGTTTTCAGGGGCTGTTTCCCAAGGTACCCTCTGAACCAGTCTTCTGAGTAGGTCAAAATCTGCCCTCTGGAAGTCCAGGGTAGCAGTTTTATTGATGGCCCTCTTTGCATCCCTGAGTATTGAAAACTCTATTATTTCATGGTCACTGTGCCCCAGACAGCCTCCGATCACCACATCTCCCACCAGCCCCTCTCTGTGAACAGCAGGTCTAGTGGGACCCCACCCCTGGTAGGTTCATTTACCAGCTGGAGCAGGAAGTTATCCTCTGTACACTCGAGGATTCTCCTAGACTGCCTCTTCTCTGCTGTTGAGTTTCCAGCAGACATCCAGCAGGTTAAAGTCACCCACAAGAACAAGGGCTGGCGATTTCAAGACATCTGCCAGTGTCAGCTGCTGGTAGAATAATTCATCACCCTCATCATCCTGATTGGGTGGTCTGTAACAGACTCCCACCAGGATGTCAGCCTTGTTGGCCTTCCCCCTGATTCTGATCCACAGACACTCAACCTCATCATTACTGACTTAAAGTTCTACAGAGTCAAGAGACTCTCTAACATATAGAGCCACCCCTCCACCTCTCCTACCTTACCTGTTCCTTCTGAAGTGCTTGTAGCCACCCATGGCAGCACTCCAGTCATGCGAGTCATCCCACCACGTTTCTGTGATGGAGACTACATCACAGCTTTCCTGCTGCACAATGGCTTTCAGCTCCTCTTGTTTGTTACCCATGCTGTGTGCATTGGTGTTCATGCACTTCAGCTGGGCTGCTGATTTCACTTCTAACTCTGGCTTTCCAACCTTAGGCTCATCTCTGGAGACCTAGTTTCAACCCCTTCCCCCTTCAAACCTCCTTTAAAGCTCTCCTTGGTGAATGACCTTGCTGATAGGGGTAGAAATGCAGAGAGATTATCTGACAATCATGCATAGATGTCCACACACTTGCCAATCTGTTTAGACAACTCAAAGAAGTTTGTAGACAGAAGTTTGTAGTGAAACTGTGCTGATGCTTTACAAGTCTCCTCGTCTCTTCTCATGTTTGTTTACTGTACACCCATCCTTCTTGATTCCAGATATTTTCCTGCTTCACGAAAGAAGAAGGCATTTTTAAGATTGTGAGGTTGTAAGGAAATGCTGAGTTGGAAAAGTAAGTTTTGGTAAATCAAGGTTTGAGACCTGCTTATTGAAGCATATTCTGCTGCTTTTATCCTCCTGCTCTTCAGTTAATATTGGTTTAACTGGTGGAGTCCTGTGTCCTTTACCTTAAGGCTATTAAAGAGACTATGAAATAACACAGATGCCCTAAGGCATGTAAGAGGACTATCCCTCCAGAGTGACAGTTCTCCTTACAGCACACAGCTTACTGTCAGCTCTCTTGAAGCTGCCTGCACGATTTAACAATTCTTGCAATAATCCCTCCTCCAACTGAGTATGTAATCTTCCACAAGACTTTAGCCAGTTTTTATCAAAGTTTGTTTCCTTTGCTTGCTTTTTAAGAAACTTTTAGTTTCTTTAACATCAGACTGGTGAGCTGTCACTAGTGGGGTTCCACACGGCTCCATCTTAGGCCCTGTGCTCTTCAACATCGTCATAAGTGACTTGGATGCAGGACTGGAAGGGATACTAAGCAAGTTTGCAGATGATATGAAAGTAGAAGGAGCTGTTGACTCCCTGGAAGGCAGGGAGGCCCTGCAGAGAGACCTTGGCAAATTAGAAGGATGGGCAATCACCAACCAGAAGTACAACAAGGGAAAGGGCCGAATTCTGCACCTGGGATGGGGCAACCCTGAATGTTTGTACAGACTGGGGAATGAGGTGCTGGAAAGCCGTGCCGCGGAAAGGGACCTGGGGGTCCTGGTTGATGGCAAGTTGAATACGAGTCAGCAGTGCCTTGGCAGCCAGGAAGGCCAACTGTGTCCAGGGGGGCATCTGGCAAAGCATCACCAGCAAATTGAGGGTGGGGATTGTCCCACTCTGCTCTGCACTGGAGCGGCCTCACCTTGAATATTGTGTGCAGTTTTGGGCACCACAATAGAATAAAGATATTAAGCTATTAGAGAGTCCAAAGGAGGGCAATGAAGATGGTGAAGGGCCTTGAGGGGAAGCCATATTAGGAAGGACTGAAGTCACTTGATCTGTTCAGCCTGGAGGAGATTGAGGGGAGAGCTCACTGCAGCCTAAAACTTCCTCATGAGGGGAAGTGGGGAGCAGGCACTGATTTCTTCTCTGTGGTGAACAGTGACAGGACCCAAGGGAATGGCCTGAACCTGTGTCAGGGGACATTTAGGTTGGATATTAGAAAAAAGTTTGTCACCCAGAGGGACTCCCCAGGGAACTGGTCACAGCACCAAGCCTGACAGAGTTCAAGAGGCATTTGGACAATACTCTTGGGCACATAGTGTGACTCTTGGGGATGGTCCTGTGCAGGGCCAGGAGTTGGACTCGATGATCCTTGTGGGTCCCCTTCAGCTCAGCATATTCTGTGATTCTGTGAAAAAGAATATGTTGGCTTGGCTTTGGTTTTCATAACCTCATATTCTCCAGTTTCTGTTTCACTCTGTCTTTCCTTAGGCTGCCTTTCCTAATTTGCTCTAAAACCTTAAATGTCATTGAAGTTTGCCCAACATAGGTTTTTTCTACTAATTCACTTTTCTCCCTATAATTTGAATATGGACGTTAGTTTCCTATTATCCATTCATATTGTGCCTTCACTAACTAGAGAAGTTTATGGAAAATATTTGCTATCAAAGCCAAGATTTCATAGAAGAGAACCTTAAACGTTTTGAGATTGAGTTTGTCTGATTTCTTCAATCCAGAATCCACAAAATCTTTCAGTTCTGCTTCCACTTTATTTGAGGTACTTCTAATTTTCATACTCTTAGTCCCATGTTCTGTCTGCTGGCTGCATTAGCATTTTCTTTAACAATATTTTACTTCTGATTTCAATTAGTTTTAGGTCCCATCTATTCATCCTTGTGGTATTAAAGCTGTCCTGACTTATGTCGCCGAATGTAACCAGTTGTTTATTTTCTGCTAAAATTTCACACTCATCATAATTCTCAAAAGAGAATTATGCTTTACTACGCATTAGCTTGGTCCAGTAATAGTTTCTCAGATTTCGGTATTTGGTCATGCTTCATGCTAATTTATAGAAGTTCAGCCTTGAGTAATACCCTTACTCAGCCTTTGGAGTGTGTAAATATTTACCTTCAGTGTAACTCTGTGAGTTGCTCTGGAGGATGGCGAAATTACATGGAAAACATGTGGGTTTGCACTTCTCTCTAAAAGGAATTAGGCTTTACATAGTTACTACAGGATTGTCTCAGTTTGACGGGAGAGAAATGTTTGCTAAGGAGGGCAAGTTATGAAGAAGACCGAACTCCTCCCTCTAAGCAATTGGAAATCTGAAATTTAGAGGCTCCAGTCAAGGAAATGTGGAGAAAGAAAAAACAACAGCCCTTTATTAAAGGATATATATGTGTAGGCAGCACAACAGAAGAACAAAACCAAACAACAATCCTGCACCCGGATTCCCACCAAAAGCAGTTCAGTTCTTCTCACTTTTCGGCACAATTCCAACCCCGGTCAGCAGGGGACGCTGTCGGGGGTCTGGTGGAGCGGAGGCTGTAGTTGCTCCCTAGTGGTCGGCAGGGTTGACAAACCCCACGTGGCCAATGGCAGCTCTCAGCAGTGCCGGGGGTTCGAGACCCCAAGGTGGGATCCCCCGAAAGGGGCAGCCAGCAAGGAACCGAGGTGTCAGTCCATCCAGCCAACAGCAGGGAGACCCAGGAAGAAAGGGAAAAACTCACAAGATGCTGGCAGTCTCCGTGACAGCAGAGGTGGGTGCGGTCCTGCAGGGGCGCTCTCTCACTGGAGAAACCAAATGGAGCTCCCCTGGTTCTTGGCAGCTCCGACGAAATCCGAGCTGAGCTACCCGACAGTGGGCAGGACAGGGAGTGAGAGGAAAACAGAGGTGAGCTGGGGCCCAAAAGCAGCCGGAATGAATGGAGCTTTTTTTTTCTCCACCCTCCACACTCACCCCCCAAGTTCTGCCCCGTAACCCCGTCCTTCCCCCCTGAGGCAGAGAAAAAAGAGTACCAAACCCCCACTCCTGGCCTTGGCTAGAGGGAAACAAGAGTCCTGCCTCTTGCCCAGAGGAGTCGCTTAGCATATCAACAAGGCAGTCATTAACCTCTAAGCTGAGCAATCACCAAAACCTGAAAAACTTGTCTCCACCCTTAGCCAAGCAGTTGGTGTGAAAAAATTACCAGAAGCTAATGAAAAAAAAAAAAAAAAGAAAACCTATGACAAGGATGTGACCTAAAATTTATTCTAAATGTTTTTTCTTTGTTTGGGTATGATCACACTTGCAGGAAAATCTGTGTGCTCTTGATTTAAAGAATCACAGAATCACAGAATTGTTAGGGTTGGAAGGGACTCCCTGGATATCATCCAATCCAACCCCACTGCAAGGCAGGGTCACCTAGAGCAGGTGACATAAGAACACGTCCAGGTGGGTTTTGAGTGTCTCCAGAGAGGGAGACTCCACAACCTCCCTGGGCAACCTGTTCCAGTGTTCTGCCACCCTCAATGTAGAGAAGTTCTTCCTCATGTTGAGGTGAAACTTCCTGTGTCTGAGTTTATGGCTCTTGTTCTGCATCCTGTCTCTGGGCATCACTGAAAAGAGTCTGGCACCATCTTCTTGGTGCCACCACCTTTGAGATATATATATGCATTAATGAGATCCCCTCCCAGTCTTCTCTTCTCTAAACAGGCTTAGCTCCTGCAGTCTCTCCTCATATGAGAGGTGCTCCAGACCCTTATCATCTTTGCAGCCCTCCACTGGCCCCTCTCCGGTAGCTCCTTGTCTTTCTTGTACTGAGGACCCCAGAAATAGACACAGCACTCCAGATGTGGCCTCATTAGGGTTGAGTAGAGAGGCAGGATCACCTCCCTCAATCTGTTGGCCACAGTCTTCCTGATGCTCCCTAGGATACCATTGGCCCTCCTGGGCTCAAGGGCACACTGCCAGCTCACAGTCAGTTTGTCATCCCAGACTCTCAGGTCCTTCTCAGCAGAGCTGCTCTCTAGTAGGTCAGCCTCCAACCTCTACTACTACTTGGGATTATTCCTCCCCGATGCAGGACCTTACACATGCCCTTGCTGAACTTCATTAGGTTTCTCTCCACCCAACTTTTCAGCCTATCAAAGATCCCACTGAATGACAGCACAGCATTCAGATCAGCCACTCCCTCCAGCTTTGTATGATCAGCAAACTTGCTGAGGGTACATTCTATCCCTTGGTCCAGGTCATTGGATCTCATTAATGCATACAAATATCTCAAAGATGAACAAGGCTGGACCCAATACTGATCCCTGGGAAACATCGATGACTACAGGCCTCCAGCTGGATTCCACTTGGCTGATCACGATTTTCTGAGCTCTGCAATTCAGCTAGTTCTTGATCCACCTCACTGTCCATTCACTGCCTGAACTTACCTATGAGGATATTATGGGAGACAGTGTCAAAAGCCTTGCTGAAGCTGAGGTAGACAACAATGCACTGCTCTCCCCTCATTGACCCATCTGGCCATCTCATCTGAGAAGGCTATCAGATTGGTCAGAGAGAGAGTTACCTGCTGCTGCAGTAGCAGAAGACATCTCATAGTTGAAGCTGCCTGGGGTTTCCACTGTGTAACAAATGGAGAGAACACAAGGTTGCTATGGGCGTGGTGCTTCTGCTGCTTGGATAGAACACAGCTGGGCCTAGGGACTCAGGCTGTGAGCGTGGGGGCTCATCTGAAGCTTTAATTTTGAGCAGCGCTATCTTTTCTGCAGTGACATGAGCCAGGAAAGGTCACAGCCTTTCCTTGCAGTGGTACACAAGTGAAGTACTGTTGTTGGTGCCTGCTGCAGCAAGCCTTCAACACAGCCCTGGGCAGGCATCATAACATTGTGTGGTAGTCTTTGAGATACAGGCTGCCAAAGACTCAGATAAGATTCCTACATTTCCTCTTATTCAGGGCTAAAGGTATGTTCTTGTTGCTTTTATCCATAAATATAAGATCCAGTTAGCTATGCGCAGTGCTTTGTTTCAGAAAGAAAGTAAATTGGGCTTTACGCTTGTAGCACAGGAGGGAGAGATCAGGGAAAGTGTGTCGTGTAACTCCCTGGAATGCAAAGCCTCCACCTGTGTCAAGTGGTACCTGGATCCTTCACCTGCAAGGATAAAGCTCTGATTGACATCGGCAGCATCCAGGCTTCACCCACAAGGGCCATGTTTGCAAAGATTCTCAGGGATTGTGTACCCTTCCCATCTTGGTTCTTCAACCTTTTTAAGATTTTGTTGTCATTGTTATTTGCTTTATTTTATTTTGTTCTAAATCATGGCTGTGTATAGAATTGCTAGAAATCCAGGAGTTGTAGCATAATAACTGTTTTCTCTGTGTGTGTATATGCATCTGTGTATGCATTTGTTTATAAATAAACTTCTAGTCCTGACATTCTAGGAAGTGTTGTTACAGCATATTGGTCCAGATGGGATCATTATGAGCACTGTATAAAATATATATCCCTCCAGATATAGCACATATGTTGCATTTATAATGCATGATAATGCATCATTAAGACAGTCCAAGAATTTGGGTTAATTGCTCTCCACTGCTAACTTGAAAGAAAGGACTTTTATTTTTCCAATGAGAATTTACAAATCAACCTCATGATGTGAAACTAGATATTGTTTTGACATCTTTTGCCTCAAACCAATGAAAGGTACTAAGATAAAATATTTGACAAGCAATACCCTAGGTGATACAATGTTTAGACTCAGGCATAAAAAAGCAAGCAGAGAGCAGAACACAGTGAAAAATGTCTGACAGCTGGTATTAATTAGATAGGTTCAGGTTCACCAAGTTGAGGTGGCCAGAGAAAAACTCTTCGAACTGCTGCTTCGGTGGGAATATTCAGTTCTGCTCAAGGGTGATCTGACTGAATGACACACTAATGATTTTTGAACAAGAAAGTCTAATCCTTTCTGCTGCTCTTGCTTCATAGTGGAGCCTCTGTGCTCTTGTAGCATCAAGCCTAGGAGCAGGACTCATTCTCCTCTGTCCATGCTTTACAGATTACAACCAGACTCCCAAAGGTAAAATTCACGGGCATCCTTGCTAAAGAAATGGCAACCTTGTCCCATGGTATTTCTCAGGTAATTAATGCTTTGCTAGTAGTTCCCAGCCCCTTCTTGGGCCACCAACTCTCTTACTTCATCATCCATTCTCCAGAGAATGCAATTGATCTTACTTATTAGTTATTAATATTATTAAATATTAGTGGATTGACTTATTTTCCATTTTATTTATACATAATAGTGTACTGACACAAAAAAAACTATGTAAAAAGGAGATATTAAGAGATACCTGGGTTGCAAAGTTAAGGAACATAACGGATGCAAAAATGACTGTGTTTTGACCAGTCTTATTTAGCATATGCATTGCAAAATCATCATCTCTAATTACGAGATGACATATCCTACTTCTGGCCCAGGTCCTCTGCCTTATCTAATACTGAGCACCCAGCTGCTCTGAATCCTCACTGAAGCTGCAGAGCAGATGAGGCTCCTTTTCCCCATGATTAGCCTTATTTACATTGCTTTTGAAGACGTCTACCAAGAAAGTCATGGAAGTACCCTGACAAAGCAGGGCAAAGTCCCTGTCCTAGTCAGGTCTCCTGTCACTCATCTTGCCTTTCCAGATGGCTAGTCCAAACCCCGTTCTCCTAGCGCATGTGAGGATCAGTGAGGTGGTCCATTGTTGACTAGCACCTCTGCCAGATGCCCGAGAGCCCGATTTCTCAGCCAGGCCAGGCAATGCCCTGCCCCAGACTTGTTGAAGGCTGCAGAGAGGGTCAGCTGCTTCTGAGTCAGCAGCTGGAGCTCTGGGCAGCCGCAGCACATGTAGCAAACCTCTGGTTTGTAAGTTGCCCCAGTCTGGACAGATTTTTATGGGAACTGCAAAGATATTTTAAATAACCAAGGCTGATCCTCCCTTCCTTATCTCTGTCTCATATTTGGCTCCAATCTTAGGCATCTTCTAAGAAGGATTCAAGTGATTCAAGTGATTTCAAGCAATTTCTTTTTTTTCCCCAACTCTCTTCTCAAATGTAGCTGGTTTTGCTGAAAAACCCCACAAAGATTGTAATGGACATCCAGTATGGAGGACTTAAACTGGAACAATCTGTCTGGGAAAGCTGAGATATAAAGCATAAGCATGCATTGTATTCGAGAGGAGAATTAGTTAGGTAATTAAGCACATGGCATGTTAGTAGTATTTATGATATCTTCTGAGGAGAGGAACAGCACCTGATATTGGGATATTGGGACTGCTGTATAAAGAGTGGTGATGCATTCTTTCTATTCACATAAGAATTTTGCTAACACCTCATTAGTTTGTTAAAACCAGATAGCAAATCTTGAATAAAATAATGGCAATGGTCCCAGAATAATTAACCACAAATTACAAAGTCTGTTTAGTTTAAAAACACACACACTAAACAGGGTACCATTTATTGTGATGGTCGCTGTCATCTCTGAATGTGCATGTTGACTTATTAATGATTTTGAGGTATAGTGAATTGTTATATCTTCCTGCTATAATTAGTATTTCTTTTCAGCAGCTGTTGAAAGTTGTTTTTGTGATACATGATTTGTTTTTGTTGTTTTTTGAATAAACTATTTTAGGTACAAGAAACATTAACAGTGAACCATCTGTTTTGGGATACATTAAGAGCTCATTTAAAGATGGCATTTGAATAATCACATTCTCATTTTGAAGTTTTAAAAGGAGAACTTAGTTTTTAAACAACTGATGACTCATGTTAATGTTTTGTGTTTTCCCCCTTACAGAATCAATAGTGTTTCTCTGTGAAAGAGA